ATTGTATTAAGTTATCTACCCGTCATTTCTCACTCTGGTTTGCAATTCTGTGATAATTACAATATTTTTCATCAAGTGTAACACTCTTAATGCATCGTTTTAAGAATTTGTTTCTTCCAAGACATTGAACAACACCCGAAGTCTCACTGTCATAGAACTGGTGAATTTTACAGAAGCTACTTTGGCCAAATATCTTTGACTTGCATCGTCTTTGAAACCGATTTAATGCTTGACAAGTTGGTAAATCCTTTTCGTTCCCAGCACGATATTTTCTCCGATTCTCTCGTTGTTTTTGGCTGTTTCTTCGCTTATCTTTCATTTTCTTTTGCTTTTCACGGCGTTGTTTGAGGACCTCTTGCAATTTCCTGCCCCTTTTTACACCATGACGTCCTTGAATATGCTGCCCTGAGGATTTTCTAGGCTTTGTCTTCATGTTACTACATAACTCTTTCTATGGAAATCCTTTAAAGAAGAAGCATGTACAAACAGCTGTACAGCTACGCTGCGTTTTCGATGCCTTTCCCAAAATAGCCAGGCGTTACATCTGAAGAAGAGAGAAGACTAGGCATGAATTTTAATTTTCGTTCCCAGAGCCCGCGTATTTTTTAAAAAGTACAAACATGGCGGCTGCAAAGCAAGTATTCTGTGATGTTTGTGAAGTAAGCTTACCCTCAGGTAAGATAGACTTATAATGAGAAGTTCAAAGAGCTGAGTAGACGTTTAAAGTTACATTGCTGGGCGTAACTCAAAAGTCACCGTATTTCTGAGAATACATATCTGTATCTTGAAACCTGATATACCATAAGCAAGGGCTGTGAAACGTAATTCGTACGTAAGAACTGCCAGCCTTATTAGTATACTATTCCCTTCATTTCCCACTCTTTTTTAATTTCAGCTGTAAAGAATCTTAACTTGTGAATTGACTATACATTACACCGTTAATTGTCCATTTGGCGAAACTACAGAATACATCAGAGAAGTCTAGAATTAAGTTGAAATAAGACTAATTCCGATCCTAGTTGCAGCTCTTGTCACCCGCAATAATTATTGTGCGGTAAATCTCAGCTGATAACGGTTTGTTCTCAGACCTCATTTATGTGAAGAAAACTTGTCCCCGGTGGAAGAATCACTCACCAGCTACCCCCAGGCAAGCCAACGTTTCCAACATTTCCTTATAAAACTTGGCAAACCATGAGAAACAAGAGAAACGAAACAAAAAACATGAGAAACAAAAAGTTGGCTGGGCAAGAAGGGGGACCTGCCTAGCTTGGTTTTCCTTTTTAATGTTAAGGTCGTCCCTCTAGCTGGGTCAACTTTTCTCCATTTTTTCTGTAAGGCCAACTAGGACTTAGCCTGCAAAGGAATGGGTGCTGAAAAAATGGGGCACACAAGGGAGACACATAAGGTGAGAGGTAGCGCCTGCCTGAGAGGCCCATGAAAATTATTTTTACTTGCTTTTTGAGAGTGCGGAAAATTCCTATTGGTTAAGAGGCTCCTGAGGGGATGAGTGTTCGCGTTAGGCAAGAAAACTGTGAATCACTCCCTCTCCTCACTTATGTCTCCCTCACATGCTCCATTCTTTTTTTGCACCCATTTCTTCCAAGTGCCTGCTACACAGGCTAACTCAGGCTAGGCAAGAGAATCAGAGTATGTATTAGTGCTGTTTTAGTTAATCAGAGTATGGGCAAGCACTGTTCGCTCGTGCATAGGGGTTACCATTTTTTTCATATAAACGCACGCTAAAGTTGACTTGGCCGGGAGGGTGCCCTCTTTCCAGGGACAACTTGTCTCCATATAAAAAGGCCCTCAGACGCATTCTTTTTTAATTGCAGGATCATTGCTTCCAACCCATATTAAAGGGAAAAAGCATCAAAGATTGTTAAACTTGAGACAAGAGCGAGAAAAGTCATGTAAGAAAAGCATTTATGTCCGTGGTTTTCAAAATTCAGGCTCAGTTGAAGAGGAGTTGACTGACTATTTCAGCACATATGGAAAAGTCTCAAACATTTTTGTGGACAAAGACAAGGTAGATTTTTCCTTGCATTTTAGTGGATCAATTTAGTCAATAAATTCAGATTTACCGGTATAATATTCATTCCCACTTTTCGGATTTTAAAATGTTCATGTTCACATTTTTTTTTTGATATTGTGTGTAATTTTCTAAATGTTTTATTTTTTATTCATGGAAATATAAATATACCACTGACATTTTTTTTAGCCTTCTCCCTTTTTAGGCCCCCTTCTTTCATCACTCTCCTCTTAAGTTCAAGTTTGCAGTAAGCTCCTCTTTTAGTTAATCCTGGTGTAAGTCCCTTCCTAGTTGAGCTATTTTGAAAAAATAGCTCATATGTCAGTGGTGTGAGCGTATGTATCTTTGTGGCTTTGTAACTTTGTATTTTTGTAACTTTGTATGTTCGGATGTTTGTTGCAAGAGCCAATAAGGTTGAAGGTACTATTAGTTGATGCTTAGGAACCAATGAGATCTTAGCATCTACTTAAACATGACATTGGTAAAGGTCGAACAAGGGCACTTTGAGACCGCCATCTTTATTCTTCACAATTTTTTCGTCTTTTATTACGGCTACAGGTGTTTGGAAACATTATATTAAATATCTTCATTATTCAAACGCTGTGTACAGTGATGCAGCTGTTTAAGGGTTCATATTTTAGTGTTGAAGCTACTTCAAGACATTTCTGACCGAATTCGGCTATCGTTAACGGTATTAACGCACGTATTTATGAGTTGTGTTTCACGTGCTTCAAGGTAGAGTATAAAAGATCGTATATTTTCAAAGCTCTTCCAATGAAGCAATAATTGATATTTAGATATAGACTTTTATTCGAAAGTATGCGCCCTATAAAATGTGGTTTTAGAAGTTTAAAAGGCAGCTTATTTTTTTGAAAGCTGTATCGAGTATTGTTAATCCTGTAAACAAGCTTTAAAAATATTATTCTCTCGCTTACAAAGTTCAACCGACCTTTTTCGTTCTATTTAGTAAAGATGCGTAACTTAAGTAGAAACAGTGGCGTTAGGGAATAAAATTGGAGGAAGCTAGTTGACACAATAATCATGATATAAGTAGAAATATATTTCGGCAGTTTGATAATTTTCTTGGAAGTTAATAAATGTTAGGCTATCAACCTTGACCTTGCATGAAACATAATTTAATTGCAGATGTTGTAGTAAAGCCGAGGTGATTTCTTAAAATCGTTTAAGAAAATTTTGTAACATCTTCACATGCAAATTGTGTGCATGAGTTATTTTTATAATTCTGTTTACTAGATTACTGTGTGATAACTCGAATTCCCTCACGTACGAACGACGAAAGGGGGCAAAGTCCGACACTTTCACGTGCCAGCTGTGTGACTGTACATCACATGCAGATTGGCTTTTCACAATAATAATAGTAACTTGGACGTATGAAGACCTGTTTCATTTAGTAACCAATGCCTTAAAAAAGGCTCTTGTCTTTTAGGAAGCAATAGCTTTTAAAACATGACGAAATAAGTTGTCGGAGTTAAAGACCGTTTCACAAAATTTTGTTAATAAATGTTAGGTTATCAACCTTGACGTTGCATGAAACATAATTTAATTGCAGATGTTATAATGAAGCCGAGGTGATTTCTTAAAATCGTTTGAGAAAATTTTGTAGTGAAGAATTTGCCTTTTTTTAACGTACGAATTGTAAAAGGGCCAAAGACCAACACCTTCACGTGCAAATTGTGTGCGTGAGTTATTTTTATAATTCTGTTTACTCAGCTAGTTTACTGTGTGATAACTCGAATTCCCTCACGTACGAACGACGAAAGGGGGCAAAGTCCAACACTTTCACGAGCCAGCTGTGTGACTGTACATCTCATGCAGATTGGCTTTTCACAATGATAAATAGTAACTTGGACGTATGAAGACCTGTTTCGTTTTGTAACCAATGCCTTAAAAAAGGCTCTTGTCTTCTGAGAAGCAATAGCTTTTAAAACATGAAGAAATAAGTTGTCGGAGTTAAAGACTGTTTCACTGAGTAGAATCGCATGTGAAAACCTTGTGAATTATGATGATGCAACCATCTACCACAATGATAAAAATCCTGGTATTTCGTAACTATTCAGTATTCGATGAGTCACATTTTGGCTTAAGAAACTCCGAGGAAACCTTAGAGTTTTCCTTCTAATCAACGTTTGGTGAGTAGAAATTTATTTCACTTTAACGATTTGTTTAACTTGCACCAGATGTAACAGGGAAAGACAGAGGAAAGTGAATATATAGCTTGAGGATCGACTCAGCTGAGCGTTTCGCGTTTTCATTTTGTACCGCAATACGCAATTTCACACAAAAACCTAATCTACATTTAGGATGAAAGAGGTAGATTGATCACTCTTGGTAAGGTTACACCGAAGCATTAAAGTTACACTGAAGCATTCAAAATAGCTCATGCACGTTTAACGTGCCTATGTTCTCCTATGCAGCTGCTTTCCTCCCTTGGAGGGGATTGGTACATAATGAAACAAAACAGGTGCATTGGAGACTAGTCTCCACCTGAGGTAAATAAGTCCCCCAGGTGTTAACAATATTATTTATTTAAGGTAAATATAATCTCCTTTTTATTACCAGGGTGTCTTTGCTATAGTAGAGTTTGCTGATGAAAAAAGTGTGACCAGTGTACTTCAGCAGGAGTCACTGCCTCTCTTAAATGAAAATCGTTTAACAGTGAAAGAAAGAACAGTAAACAAAGCCAATCTTGAGTACAAGACACAAAAAATGAAGAAAAGCAAACCTGATGGCTCACAGCATCATCTGCATAGACTATCACAAAACCAAGAAATAGCAGAATTTGTGCCAGAGGAACTTGTGAATAAAATCAAGTCATCTGTTAGCACAGTAGGTTTACAATGAGGTTTAACTCCTTAACTCAAGAAGTGCCCAGAGTTAAAATCTTCCAAAACATTCCTAATTTCATTTTGTGAAATGATGAAAAAACAGGTAGTTCTATGTGAATAAACTGCTGAAGAGGTTTCATTCGAATGGGATCATACCATAGGATTTATCCACCACAAACTCAAAAGTTAGAATCAGGGCACTTTTCATTTTTCAGAAATGGCCAGCCTGACCGTTCCTGTCATCATGAGAATCTCACTAAATCAATCAGAACATGTGTAGCCAGATCAGTCAAATCCTGAACAATATGCATGTGGTTGATGGGATTTTTAGTGAAAACTCTTTAAAACACCTATTTCATTTTCAAAATGATAAGTCTGGCCGGTCAGTTCCGACTTTTGGAAATTACCCTTCGTCATCCACTTTAGGAGTGAAAAAGTTAATTTATTGTTCATTGTAATCACATTCACAGTACTATGCAAATCTCCAGCTACAAAAATGATAGTCCTAAGACTTTCAGTCTGGTCATCTTGTCTGACTGATGGTGGGTAGGATTTCATTCAACAAATTATAGCTGGTGCAACAAACCCAAAAGCTAGCAGTGCAACTAAAGCTTATAATTCCCTCTTAAGCCTCTTCTTACTGTGCCTTGGTGTTTCCTTACAGGTTCAAGAACAAGCGCACTTGTTAATGCAAAAATTGTGTCTGACTGAAGAAGATATTAAGTTGCGAAAACTGGTCTGCCAACTGTTGCAAGAAGTATTTTATGAGGTTTACCCTGAAGCATCAGTCGTGCCATTTGGCTCCACAGTCAGTGGAGTTGGCTGGGAAGGAAGTGACCTGGATGTTTGTTTACTGACACCTTCTCAACAAGATGACGCTGCTATAGACTACTCTTTGGTCATTGATGTGCTGCGTAGTTTTGCCCCAGGTTGCATAAACATTATACCTGTCTTGACTGCAAAGTGTCCACTTATTAAATTCACACATCGGCCGTCAGGCCTGTCTTGTGACCTTTCAGTTAATAACAGGTACTGTTAAGAGGAAGGGTGTTACTTTTGCGTGGAAGGATCAGTTTGCAAATTATTTTAACATGTTAGTCCATGTTTTGTGACCTATCCTTTTTGTTCCCTTTCTTGCAGGCTTGGTGTGGCAAACTCGGATCTCCTCCGTTGCTACATGTCTCTTGATCCAAGGGTTCCTCAGCTGGTGTTTATAGTGAGAGCCTGGGCAAGAGCCAAAGGTCTTACCCTTGGTAAACAGTTGTCAAACTATGCCTTGACCCTCATGGTGCTGTATTTCCTGCAGATGCGAACTCCGCCTGTGATCCCATCTCTTCAACAAGGATTTGACAGTTGGGTTGAAGAGCTGTCATGTCTGCATAATACAGATGACAATAACCATCACAGCCTGGTCATTAAACAGCTTGAGTCTGATGTCATTGATGGCTGGGAATGTTCTTTTTTCAAAAACACTCACAGACTTTCCATGNCAAAAGCTAGCAGTGCAACTAAAGCTTATAATTCCCTCTTAAGCCTCTTCTTACTGTGCCTTGGTGTTTCCTTACAGGTTCAAGAACAAGCGCACTTGTTAATGCAAAAATTGTGTCTGACTGAAGAAGATATTAAGTTGCGAAAACTGGTCTGCCAACTGTTGCAAGAAGTATTTTATGAGGTTTACCCTGAAGCATCAGTCGTGCCATTTGGCTCCACAGTCAGTGGAGTTGGCTGGGAAGGAAGTGACCTGGATGTTTGTTTACTGACACCTTCTCAACAAGATGACGCTGCTATAGACTACTCTTTGGTCATTGATGTGCTGCGTAGTTTTGCCCCAGGTTGCATAAACATTATACCTGTCTTGACTGCAAAGTGTCCACTTATTAAATTCACACATCGGCCGTCAGGCCTGTCTTGTGACCTTTCAGTTAATAACAGGTACTGTTAAGAGGAAGGGTGTTACTTTTGCGTGGAAGGATCAGTTTGCAAATTATTTTAACATGTTAGTCCATGTTTTGTGACCTATCCTTTTTGTTCCCTTTCTTGCAGGCTTGGTGTGGCAAACTCGGATCTCCTCCGTTGCTACATGTCTCTTGATCCAAGGGTTCCTCAGCTGGTGTTTATAGTGAGAGCCTGGGCAAGAGCCAAAGGTCTTACCCTTGGTAAACAGTTGTCAAACTATGCCTTGACCCTCATGGTGCTGTATTTCCTGCAGATGCGAACTCCGCCTGTGATCCCATCTCTTCAACAAGGATTTGACAGTTGGGTTGAAGAGCTGTCATGTCTGCATAATACAGATGACAATAACCATCACAGCCTGGTCATTAAACAGCTTGAGTCTGATGTCATTGATGGCTGGGAATGTTCTTTTTTCAAAAACACTCACAGACTTTCCATGTCACGGAATGATACAAGTCTGAGTAAGTATGGCTGTTTAGGCAGCTTTCCCCTTATTTTGTTACAAAGTTGTTTTGATACAAGTCGTCGTCCTATGTAAGGTAATTTTGGATTTTGGGGATTTTTGCCTGTGGAATCTAGAATCCTGGGCTTTGGAATCCAGATTTCAGCTAACGGAATCAGGAATTCCACTAATGATTGGTATTCGGAATCCAAGTTCCACCGACAAGGAATCCTGAAACCAGTTCATGGAATCCATAATCCAAGACCATCTTGGATAGTTACCAGTTGTTGGAATACAAAGTTGTATCGATACAAGTTTATTCATTCAAGGTGTAAATAGTTCCACGTACTTGGCTTAAAGAACTAAGATATTCACCGAAATTGTTCTTTTGTTTACCCACAAACTATACTTGAAGTGAACAAAATTTCAAATTTAGTTTGTATCAAAACGACTGGTTTCCCCTTGGATTACCTTACATGTGACAAAAGTCGATTCAGTTGAGGTTTAATAATTTCACGTAGTTGGTTTATAATGAGGAATTTTCACGTCATAAAAGTGATCGAAAATATCCCTGCAGTTCAACCCCCTTCCTCACTCTGGTATCCCCCACTTCCTGGTGTTTCGCTTCTTAAAAAGTCATATCTATCGAATCAGAAGCACAGGTTTCATATAGTCTACTCTGCAAGCATTCCTAGTGATCACACTTAGAGGGGGGGCGGGGGACGAGGGACGGGGGTCAGGGGTGGGCACCAGAAATCCTTGTTAATTAGATAGAGATTTCATGATCTGAGGAATTTTTATTTAATTCACCTACAAGTAAACTTGCTTACAGGAAATTACTTCGCGCGTGCTGATTGATTCGCTATCTAAAACAAAACGCTCAATTTATTATAGAACGAGAAATCCAGCCATTTGCGTTTGCTTCGGTAATGCAAAGCGCAGGTATTCGTTCATGAACAATTCAAATAGTTTTTGGTTCTTTCTGTTGGCTCTTCTCGCGAAAGGGGGTGCAACAGTCTGTAGATCAAAGATAGCCTTCATTTTCAGTTTGGCGGGTTATTTAGCAGCGACTACCTCTGCGATCGCTTTTTTCGGTTTCTCGTTATTCAACAAGAGTAGTCTGCCACACAGCCGTTTTTAGTGTCGTCACGCAACGCTCCGTGACGACTCTCTCTCATTTAGAGTCACCTTATGACAAACGCAAATTTGTGCCACGTGACCAAGTTTTCCCTTTACTCGTCTACTCTTCTTTACTTCTACAAAAAATAATAAGTAGTTTCACGTTATTTTCATCCACAAGAATTGTTTTAGACTGTTTTTATCTGCTCATTTTCTAGTTTTATAAATTTTCAACTTGAGTTTGCCGTAAACGTTACTCTAAATCTCTATCATTCAGATTGGGTTTGACGCAAGATAGCCCCCATTCTAATTCCTCATGATTTATTCTTCGACTTTCTAAAGTAAGCGACAGCTTCTACGAGAAGCACTCTTTTTATCGTCACTTCTAACGCTACAAAATCAGAAAAGTCTTTTCGAAATCTACCGATAATTTAATACAGGAAGTCGTAATCAAGGAAAATATCTGTCGTAATGAGACATTCTAACGTTTTGTACGTTTGAGCCAAATAACAAAGGGCGTTCGATCACTTTTTAGCAGTCGAGAAAGAGTGTAACGTTTTTGTGGAAACAGTTCTGCATGTGACTAATCTTTTACTTGTGTGTTCTGTTATTTTCGTCTGTGGCTTTGTGAGGATTACTAAAGCACTAGAATTTCAAACTTTTTGTCAGCATTACTGGTTATTGCTTTTGTTTATTTGGTGGCTCCTAAAGGAGCCGTTTGTTTTATGAAAAGTCAATGCACTTATGCTCGTTCTCCTCGGATTCGACGGGCCAGCTGAATGTCCTTGGGCATGATGGTGACACGCTTGGCGTGGATGGCGCACAAGTTGGTGTCTTCAAACAGACCAACAAGGTAAGCCTCGCTAGCCTCTTGAAGAGCCATCACAGCAGAGCTCTGGAAGCGCAGATCGGTCTTGAAATCTTGAGCGATTTCTCGCACAAGACGCTGGAAGGGTAGCTTGCGGATCAACAGCTCAGTGGATTTCTGGTAACGACGGATCTCTCGAAGAGCGACTGTGCCAGGCCTGTAACGATGAGGTTTCTTGACGCCACCAGTAGCTGGCGCGCTCTTACGGGCTGCTTTTGTGGCGAGCTGTTTTCGTGGAGCTTTTCCACCGGTTGATTTACGGGCAGTTTGCTTTGTGCGAGCCATGTTTGAAAACTTGGAGTCAATTGGAGAGACTGAATTATCGTTGAATAGACTCCCAAAAACTTTATACCTGGCGCGTTTTATTCTGATTGGCTGAAATGTTTGCTCTGTGATTGGTGGAATAAGACTGACTTGATGTACCAACGGCAATTTTCGATCCTAAATTATTTTTTGCTGGTTTTAGTTCTTTGAAGGGTAGTTTTTGTAAAGAAATATTCTGACGAGAATAGGCCCATGTGAAAAAAATTTATGTTTGCAACAATGTTATAAATCGCTGCATTTCTCGTGCCAAAAATACATCATATTTCTACAAATCGGGAGCGCAAATGTCCGTCACGGTAAACTACTTTAGCAAATTATGCGCATATTTCACTTGTCATAATATTTGCCCTCTGCTTAACTTAAATATCGCTTTTGTTATAATTGAACCAATGGAAAGGCCTCTAAGCTTCCAGCGAGGTCCTCTTTGCTGTCATATAAAGCAGAAACGAAGGTTTTCTGGCACAATTCGATAAGAGAGCACTAACATTCAGTCAATATGTCTGGTCGTGGCAAAGGAGGCAAAGGTCTAGGAAAAGGAGGCGCCAAGCGTCATCGAAAGATCCTTCGTGATAACATCCAAGGCATCACCAAGCCAGCTATCCGTCGTCTTGCTCGCCGTGGCGGTGTCAAGCGAATCTCTGGCCTCATTTACGAAGAAACCCGTGGCGTTCTTAAAGTTTTCCTCGAGAACGTTATCCGCGATGCTGTAACGTACACCGAGCACGCCAAGAGAAAGACCGTGACAGCCATGGACGTGGTGTACGCTCTCAAACGCCAGGGACGTACTCTGTACGGATTTGGTGGTTAGACTACACTGCCTACACTCACATCACAAACGGCTCCTTTAGGAGCCACCAAATCCTTAAAAGTCATGACCAATAAAGTTTGCTATAATCTTTATCTCTTACGTCCTGGTCTTTTGAAAGCTCCAGAGAGGGCATCACAGAAATTGGCTAAATTTTTGAACAAATTATTGTCTATAACTGGTCGATGATTAGGCTTTCTGGTTAAATCTTTGCACACTTTCCTTCGGCTAAATCCTCCCTGTAACGGCTACTACTGGGGAAAGGTTTGTCGTGTTACCGGTCGTTTCGATACAAGTTTATTCCGTCGAGTAGTAAATAGTTTAACGAACTTGGCTTAAATAACGAAGAATGTTCACCCAAAGTGCTTTTCTTTTTCACGGGCAAACTTTACTTAAAGAGATCGAAATTTTTATGTAATTTCACTGCTCAAGTTTGTATCGAAACGACCGGTTTGTCGGTTCTAAAGGGACACCCAAGTACTTCGCCCTTCAGGAACGATCCTTAGTGAGATTTTGAGTAGTTTTGGAATCTATACCCCTTGCATACGTGTTTTCACTATAACAAGTTTGTAAGACCTTTAGTTGATACTGTGAGCTTTTTATAAAAGTTTTTACTTAAGTGATGAAATTCTTGTAAGGCCCACTTTTTCAAGGGGAAGTTAAACAATGTTGGCGACTTTGCATCGATGCTGTGAGCTTTTTATAAAAGTTTGTACTTAAGTGATGGAATTCTTGTAAGGCCCACTTTTTCAAGGGAAAGTCAATCAATGTTGGCGACTGTCATGATCGATGCGGAATGTTTTTCTTTTCAGTGGAAAAGTTTATGAAAGGTTTTCCGTCTAAGACTTTGGTCAAATGTGGAACTTTCTTGGAAGTTTTACCGTTCTGTGATCAATGTGCAACGAAAGTTCACTCCCTGTATTAAGGTAGCGTAAATTTGCATTTGAATAGTCCTTATCTTTTCACGAGCTAATGCTCAAACAAAATTATCTTACGGCCGGAAATGATGCGGCTACTAGTTCTCTTAATTTACACAAGGAGAGAAAAGTTACTTAAAGTTGTTTTAAAATCGTTCAGTTTTCCGTAGAATTTTTCTCCTTGGCCATCTGTCAAATGTGGAAAGGTTTCCCACTCTGTAAACAGCGTGTAAGGAAGGAGCTCTTTTCCTAACGAACTCACATCAATTTGCGCGCTCAAACTTGCACTAAATTTGCATTTGAACAGTCCTTGTCTTTTCATAAGCTCGTTAACGTTGCTTTAAGGTCTGTCCAATTTCCTTAGAATCTGCATAAAATGGCTTTGCAGACGTTCAGCTATTCTTGAAGTGTCCTTCGTCCATCTTAAAAGGGAAATTTTGTACGAAAATAAGTTTTCAAGAATTTGGGCGCTAGAATTTCCTTATATATACTCCTAAGCTAGTCCTTGTAAAGGAACTTTACTTTTGGGTTTAATTTCTGGAGTAAAGGTAATTGATAACTGAGTATTGGTCATGATTTTATAACATATGGTGGCTCCTAAAAGAGCCGTTTGTGTTTTGAAAGCTTTAGTTTAAGCTTTCTGCTTCTTCTCGGTCTTCTTGGGCAACAGCACAGCCTGGATGTTGGGAAGAACGCCTCCTTGGGCGATGGTGACACCAGCGAGCAGTTTGTTCAACTCCTCGTCATTTCGGACGGCTAGCTGAAGGTGACGGGGGATGATTCTTGTCTTCTTGTTGTCACGAGCAGCGTTGCCAGCCAACTCAAGGATCTCAGCGCTTAAATACTCCAGCACGGCGGCCAAGTAGACCGGGGCACCGGCGCCAACTCTCTCAGCATAGTTTCCTTTGCGAAGAAGACGGTGGATTCGACCAACAGGAAACTGAAGCCCTGCTCGGGATGATCGGCTCTTGGACTTCGTGCCCTTTGCCTTTCCTTTACCGCGACCAGACATATCGAAATTTAGTAGCAGTGTTCTGAGTAGTGTTCTAGGGAAATGAATGACTCAAATTTGGCGGTCTACGAGATTTATACCACCATCTCTTTTCGTTAGGATCGAAATGCACCAATCAAAGTCCTCCTGCGTTTTTGAATTTCAAATAACCTTTGTAAAAAAGAAAATGACATGCACAGTAGACACAGCAACTTCAACGCGTCTTTTATGAAAAGAGCAGTGTGTGCCCAGTGAGACATCCAATCAGAAAGCAAGGATTTCGATCCGTATGATAATCGATCATTTCGTTATTTTGGTATAAATACAAGATGGATCGCGTTGGCCGATCATACCCATACTACAAGCATGGCACCCAAAGTTGCAGGAAAGAAAGGCGAGAAGAGAGCCGGAAAGGCAAAGGCTGCTGGAGAGAAGAAGAAGAGGAGAGGAAAGAGAAAGGAAAGCTATGCTATCTACATCTACAAGGTGTTGAAGCAAGTTCACCCTGACACTGGTATCTCCAGCAAGGCCATGGGCATCATGAACTCGTTCGTCAACGACATCTTCGAGCGCATCGCGACCGAAGCTTCCCGCCTTGCCCACTACAACAAGAAATCAACCATCAGCTCCCGCGAGATCCAGACCGCCATCAGGCTGCTTCTGCCCGGTGAACTGGCGAAACACGCCGTCAGTGAAGGAACCAAGGCTGTGACCAAGTACACCAGCAGCAAGTAAACTCTCTGCGAGGGTTAACCGCCAAAAACAACGGCTCTTTTAGGAGCCACCAAACCTTAAAAATGCAATAACCAACAGACCTTTTTCTTGTCATTGATGAAATCCTAACCAAAAGAAGACACAAAATAGCGGTAAATATTAAAACAAACAATCGTTTTCTCACTACAGTGTCAGCAAAAGCTATGATAATAGTCACCCTATCTTCGTAAGGCTTCCAGCTAATACTGAAAAAAAAAATGGTTCGCGCTTTTTGATCTAACACGGCTGAAATTCAAACGTTCATCTATTCTTTGTAGAGTAGCTACCGATGCGATGTACTGCAGGCGCTTTTGTGCTGTTATAAAAATAAAAGCGCGATCAACAAACATGAACCCGCGACACAGCATTTTTGTTCTTCATTGTTTTTTTTATTGAATATTCTCTTGCTTACTTTCTAAAGTGCCACGTAGCTTATTGGCATTTTTTCCCGGTTTTTTATGTTCACACAATACCGGATTGCTTTTGCACCGCCACGAGAATGATACCGCATACAGCTTCTGTTCACAGAAAAGAACGGTGATTTTGGCGCGATTTCTGTAACGGAGCGAAGCTGCGCGGCGCGGCGCCGATCTCGAAAGTGGAGCCGCCTTTCATCGCGCCTTTTTGTTGGGACGTTTAGAAACGTTCCCCGTGCCAAGGGGAGAAAGAGAAGAGAAGAGCGAAACGAAGCGGCGGCATTCGTAAGCTAAGGAGCGTCGGTATAGAAGGTACGAGGTTGGGTAAAGGTTTTTTGTTCGGCGCTTTATTTTTCTTTTCTCTTCATAGTTTGTTCGACGGTAGATTTTTTCATTAGTCATGGTTGAGAGCATTCGTCAAACAGTCTAAAGCTAGGGTGCGTGAGGCTCGCACGCGAAGCACGCGAGAATTCACACTCATATACACAGCTGGTAATACATTTGCCCTCAGAAAATGAGCGTAGGGTAAACATTTTTTTTTTCATGTGTCAATTAAATTTCTTCGTTTATATGTTTTCTTCAGGTCAGTTGTTAGAGGAATTCTTTTGCTACTTTTCAACCGAATTCAACTTTTCTGGCTCTGTAGTGAATATAAGGACTGGATGTTGCACCAGTACCGCCTCTGTGCTAGAGGAGCTGAAAGGTGCAAAATATTCAGGAAG